GTAGAGTCTCCGCAGTTAGAGGGGTAAGGTGTGGCACCCCACGGTGTGGCCCCACTGTGTGTCTTCCCCTGGCTAAGAGTCTCTGTCAGACTTCACAGATTAATTTGTGAATTCCACTCATTCATTCAACAAACATTTACTGAGCACCTGGTAGGTATCAGGCACTATTCTAACCAATAGAGACACTACCCTAACCAAAACAGAGATCCCAGCTTTGTGGAGTTTATATCCTAGTGGAAGGAGACAGATAATAAACAATAAGCAGAATAGATGCTTAGTCATAAAGTGACAACGGCTAGAGAAAAGTAATAATAAAGAGCACTAGACAGGAAATCTAGAGAGTGAGGAGGGGCCCTTTTCCCTTCATAGAAACAGAAAAGTAATAACTCTGTAGGGGAGGGAGGAGTTTTCCTCCACCTTTCCAGGTTCTCCCAGCTGGTCTAATAATCAAACTGACATGAAACAGATTAACAAGAGAAAATAACCAAATTTAATTACAGATGTCCATATGGGAATCCCGCATCCATGAGAGGCTCAGAGACAGACATGAAAAGGAGGTTTATATAACATCATGAGTCTGGGTTAGGCTTCACAAGGAAGGAGGACCATTCACAGATGGGTAAGAAGAGCAGGTGTTCAGTAATTAGATGTTCACCCTGCCATATAAATAAGTCACAAAAGGTTATTTCTCGTGATAACTCTTATTATGGGCAAGGCCCCAATTTAAATTCTTTAAGGGAGAGGTCCAAGTTTCTCTTGAGCCCGCAGGGTCTTGACTGCCTACAGCTCAAAAGAATCTGCATGCCACAGGGGAGCATCCTGTGAAAACTCATTCTGAACCCCTACAGCTTCCACATATAAGAGTCCTGCTGTGTTCCACAGCAATGCTGAGAGATAGATGTTAAACTGAGGCTCAAAGAGGCCTCACCCAAGGTCAGCAGCAAGTGATCAAGTGGAACTGAAACCAGGGTCTGCTCAACACCCGAAGCAGAGACACCTTAAGAACCTACAGCACCCTTCACCCACCCATAGCCACTATTTGGCACTCAGAGACTCCTCCTTGCCCACAGATAGGGCTATGCAGCACCAGGAGGAGGCCTGTTGTCCCTCCCAATACCACCTGCACCACCCTGACCGTCTCTGCTATGCCCCAAGGAACAGGGTGTAGTATACCAAGCATGGGATAAATGTCATAAAGACCAGACTTGGGATCCCATTTCTGCTGCTTACCAACTCTGTGGACTTAGGACCGGTGGCTCTCTCTCCTTGGGTCACTATTTTCTCGTCTGCAGTAGTTAGCAGAGTAATACAGCACCCACTTCATAGGGTTGTTGAAGGGATGAAATGACCTTAAAGTAGTCTGTAAACTTCATGGTGCTGCGTTAGTGCTAGCTGTTGGCCTCAGTGTTCCCATCTGAACAATAGGGATGCATTTAGCTCTGCAGTAAACCCTTCAGCCCAGGGATTCCTGGTTGGCCAACAGCAAACTTGAGAGGCGCTGTGTACAGCAGACTTTAGAGCCCAGCGACCTGGGTTCACAATCCTGATTCTGCTACTTTCTCTGTGAACTTGGCAAAGCCTCCTCAGTTCTCTGCTACTACAAAACTGGGGTGGTGAAGATGAGAAGAGAATAAATATCTGAACCATTTCCCACAGAGGAGCTGCCTGATAAATTTTAGCTTTGAAAAATTAGTGGTGTATAGCAGAATAGAATATTAATCCCTCCGCTTTAACTTTTGCTGTGATGTATGATAGCCTTTATTTTTAAAAAAGACCTAAAGAAAACATGACAAAAATGTTAATATTTGTTCATTCTAGGTGATAGATTTACAGACGTTTGTTATATTATGATTTGTACTTTGCTAGAATTAAAAAAAAAAAAAAAAAAAATTTGTTCAAGTTTGCGCCTAGGTGGTGGTGCCACCTTGTGGCCACACTGTTATTATCTTGAATTTAAGAACTTTTCAGGAGTTCAGTGTGCATGGTCGCTCCTAAATGTATCATTTCTGCAATGGATTAATAATAATGTCCTAGATTTCCTTAACATTTGAGTGTAGAGAGGGACCTTCAAGGATGCTTAGGCTTTGGTTAGTTACTTCTAGCCACGGGGCCCTCTCTCCCTGGAAGAGAATGCTGGTGCCACAATGGGACCCCTGGGTCTTAGGAAGTCCTCTGTCCAAGGTCTCCGTTTTTGTCAGCTCCTTGTTACGGAGATGGAGAAACCGAGGTCCAGGGAGGGCGTGAGGCCTGCCCAAACCTGCCCTCACTGAAGATATAGACCAACTGGGTAAAATGCAGGATGGTTGGGGTTGGTTGGTTCTGTTCACTGCTGTATCCTCAGCCCATGTCAGGCTGTCAGTAAATATGTTCCGTGAATGAAAGAACAAACTAGGATGGACCAATCATTCATTCTCAATCATTTTAATAGTGGCTGACATTTCCGCGGTCTTGCTCTATGCCAGACACTGTGTCAAGCTCTGTAAGTACACTGATTTATGTAAAGCTCACCACGACCCTGAGCGTGAAGGTTTGATAGTTATCCCCCATTTTACTGATGGAAAAACCGACCCTCAGAGATCTTAAGTGACTTGCCCAAGATTACACAGCTAAGAAGTGGCCCCGCGAGGATGTGCACGCAGGCAGACTGGATTCTCCCTGAGGCTTGGAGCAGAAGAAAGCTAGTTGGGGCTTGTTGGTTCCATACAGGCTAACATGGCAGGAAGCAGGGACTCATTACCGGCAGGGGCCTGCGTTGACAGGGCTGTGTGTCAGTGTTAATCCCTTGTAAAGATTTTAATTCCTTGCGGGCGAGGGGAGGTGGGCACGGCAGTGGGGGAGCTGCAGTTTTTTTCCTAGGCTGTTGTGGTTCAGTTTGAGGTTGGCGAAGGGAAGAACTGGCTGTCATTAAGTCACATCGCATTCCCATCGGCAAACTAGCACAGCTCAAATCTGGCTCCTCCCACTCGCTCTTCCGAAATCCAATCAGCAGCCTCTCCTCGTGTGGCCCCGCCTCTGCCATGTGGCCCCGCCTTCCCAGGCTGTGCTCCTGCCCAACTCGGGCCTCCATCATCCCTGCCTGGACTACTGCAGTTTCCAGCTGGTCTCCAGCCTTCCCCTCCTCCTCCCAAGAGCTTTCTTCTAGTCTTCCTGAAATTCAGCTCTGCGCAGACACTTCTAGGGCTCTTACTGCAAAGAGAATGAAGTCTGAATTCTGACCAGCATTCTAGGTCTGCCACCAGCCCTGCCAACCCACCTTCCTACTTTCTTTCCAAGTAGTCTCTTATTAATTTCTTTATGTTCCTGTGAACTTATACCCTGCCTTGTCCCATACACAGGATGGAGGCAGCTCCTGACCAAGACACATCCTGCCAAGACAGTGCTTAGGTCTCAGAGGCCCAGCACTAAAACCACAGCCCAGTACACCTTTCATTTGGACCTGGTCTATGAGCCCTCGAGCCCGCGGGACTTTCTCTGCACCCTCGTGTGAGTTCCCGCCTCCAGTCATATAGAAAGATTATTAAGCCTGGCCGGTGTGGCTCAGTGGCTGAGCATCAACCCGTGCACCAAGAGGTTGCCAGTTCGATTCCCACTCAGGGCACATGCTCAGGTCGTGGGCCTGATCCCCAGTGGGGGGCATGCAGGAGGCAGCCAATCAATGTTCTCTCTAACTGATGATTCTATCTCTTTCCTTCTCCTTTCCTCTCTCCACAATCAATAAAAGAAAAAGAAAAATAAAACTATTTAAAATAAAATAAAAAAGAAAGATTATGAATATGGCCAGCGCTTGTCCCTCCAAGCCTGAGGGATCACTGAGGTCGGCATGCGGGAGGTATGCTTCTCTCCAACCCAACTCCATATCGAGGGGTGCAGGGCCACCGTGGGTAGCTATACACACTGTGTCCTGCGCAACTGCAAGAAGTGCCATTCTCGAGCTGGGACGCACATAACACGCACAACAGTGCAGAGGAGCCACAAGGAAAGGCTTGGGACGTTGAGGAAATCACGTGTAGTACACAACCGTCGTGACTAGAGGGCGCCAGATTGGACTCCTGGGGCCGCTCCTTCCCAGCCTGGAGAAAGCACTCCCAAGGACATTAAGGCCCACATTTATTCTCATTAGCAGCATGAGCATTTCCCAAGGATTAGAAATAATATATGTAAATTGCCTGGTCTGTGGTGGTTGCAGCAATATGTACCTTGATTTATGTCAAGTTCACAACCGCCCTGAGAGTGAAGGTGTGATCATTATTCTCCAGATATTAATTTGTGTGAGGAAGAAAGGTCATGGCCACAGGCTGTCCCGTATCAATGGAGGACTGGGGAGGGGGTGGGGCACAGCACATTCAGTTGCATGTGGGCAATGTTACCAAACTTTGTAGGGTCATTGTGAGGTGTCCGGAGCAGCCCAGTACACAGCAGGTGATTAAGAACTGGCAACTACTAAGGTCCTACTGAGAGCCCACTGATTAGGCCAGACCGCCCGGGTTTGTCCTATTGGTGACACGTTGTCACTGGAAGACCCTGGAACATTACCTCATCCCTTCAGATGCCCCATCTGCAAAATGAGGGCAACACCTGGACCACAGGTGGTGGTGGTGACCAGGCGAGTTATTCGTGTCAAGTCTTTGGCATAGCAAATATACTCTACTAATGTGAAGTCATCAGCTTTGTCTGTTCCCCCTCCAGGCCAGGCTGGGGTCCAGGGAAGGACCGATGCTGGGTCACTGTGAGGATGGAAAGAGATGGCATGAGGCAAGCCCCAGAGACCAAGGGACAAAATCGGAAAAGCCCAGTTGGGAAACCCGCCCGATATATACAAGGCCAGAAACAGGTACCCAAGGAGAAGTGGGAAGTGGGGAAACAGGGCCCAGGGGTGCACATGGCAGGAAAGAGAGGGTCATCAGGGCACACTGTGTAGCCTGACCCCTCCCCTGGGCCCTGCTACTGGGCTCCTCAAGAAGCCTGGCTCAACGGAGCCAACCAGAGAGGAAGAGAACACAGACGTTGAACGAATTTATTGAGAACACTCAGGGTCCGTCAGGGAGACAATGTACTGGTTACAAGCTCCAGAAGCTCTTGTCGGAACAGCCGTGAGGGCAGGGCACCCCCAGGCAGGGGGCTGGTGGGGCTGAAAGCCACCTGGGGACAGAAGAGCAGACAGAGGCCATTCCTCCCCGTCCGGCCCCAGTTCGGATCCCTCTCGCCCTCGCGGGTTAAAGTGCAGTGGGAGGGGAGGCCGGTGGGATCAGGTGGCTACAGCCACAGTGACAGTGCCCACGGAGCCCTCGCCCCTCCTCTTTTCTTGAGGCTCAGCCGGAATCCATCCCGCCCAGGTCCCTCCTTGGACTCAGTCAGGGAGACTCCACCCCACCATCAGACAGAAAGAGCCCCCCCGCACTGTGAGGCGCCCATCAGCTCACTGAGGGGCCTAGGATCTGAGGAGCAGTGGGAGGCACTGTGATTTCGAGAACAGGAGGGAGGGATGCTTTTCTGTGGTGATGGTCTGGGGGTCATTCCTACTGCCTGGCCCCGGAAGACTCCTCCCTTCATCCCTGGAAAGCCAAGAAAGCCAGAGGCCCAAAGAGCTGGCCACTGGCTCCGGGGCCATGAGTCAGCAGGGTCCTGCCCAGGCCTGACTCCCAACCATGGAGGGCGGGCCACTTCAGTGCCACGGGGAGAAGCTACCCTGGGCCTGGGAGTGGGGTGGGCGGCCTCTGGGGAAGCCGGTGGGGGCGGAGCACCCCGCTTCTGCCAGTGGTCTTCCTAGCCCAGACCAGCCCTCCCTCAGGGCCGCTGCTGGCCAGGTACCCACTCCGCTCAGGGCCCAGCTCCACCACTGTGCCCCAGGGGCCCTGCCCCACCAGAGGCTGCATGGGCCTTGGCCTGGCTCCTGCCATCTTGGATGGCCTCACCCCCACCTCAGCAGCTTAGCCAACTTCCTCCTCCTCCCAAGAGCACATCTAAAGGAGGCAGAAAGAAGAGACCCTCCCCTCCAAAAAAGAACCCTGAAGACCTCTGCTTCCTCCCCCCACTCTTGAATATATTAAATTGTGCAGCTTGGCTCCAGCCCCTCCCTTCAGATCTCCATGGCAACCAGGAAGCATTCCAAGTCCAAGTCTGAATCCAAGTCCATCCAGTGCCAAAGAGGGGCTTCAGCCTCTCCCCACACACTTCCCCCAGCATTCCACGGGGGACGAGCGGGGAGGCAGAGTTGAGGGCCTCAATCCTCAGCCCCCTCTTCCTCGGTGTGGGGGGCCCCTGGGGGTTCCTCGGGCTCAGGGGTCTGCCCGCCAGGGTGGAGGTGGGGGTGGGGGTGGGGATGGGTGCCCGGCTGCGGGCCCGGGCCGTCCTCGCCCTGCACGTAGACACTCAGCCCCTCGTGACTCGGCTCCTTGCCACAGGCCTGGCAGCTGCAGTGCAGGATCTTCTCCACCAGCTTGTCCACCCTGGGCACCTCCTCGTGGCCGGGGCACTCCAGCGTTACCTGGGGAGGGCAGCAGAGATGTTTCCAAAGGCCTGAGGTGGGCAAGGAGGTCTCAGGGGGAACACATCCTCATGCAACCACGAATCCGAGAGACCCCCGGAATCCTGAGCCTACCTGTGAGACCCCAGTTAGCTCTGTGGGCCCACCCAGGGAGAGAGGGGGAGAGGCCCTGCAGACGCCACCTGACCTGTCTCCTCACATCCAGCCCTGCCACCTTCCTACCCATCCCCTCGCAGCAGCCAGAAGACTCCCTGAAGGACAAATCTAAGTGGCCTGCCCCTGCCTAACACTCCCCTCAATGCTCCCCGTGGCACCTGGAGAAAAACCCTGGCTTCTTACTAAGGTCACCCAGGCCCTGCAGGCTGCCCCCACGAACCTCTCCGCCCCTGACTTGCTCCACTCCCGCCAGCTGTGCTGTCTGATCTGCATGAGACTTTGCCCATGCTGTTCCCTCTGCCTGGAAGGTCCTCTCCCAGCCCGCCCACTAACACGTGCCTCAAACACTGCCCAGTTATCTTCAACCTCTGGGTCTGAGCTCAGACATCACTTCCTCAAAGAGCTCCCCGCACCCAGAACCACCAGCCCGGCTGAAGTTTGCCCTGTATGCACCCCTTTAGCATCTTGCTCTGCCCCTAGTTCACTTCCTTTCCCCCCTCCTTCCACACAGCACCTACTCCATGCCAGTTCTGGGAACGAACACCAGGCACAGTCCCTCAAGGAACTCAGAGTCTAGTGTAGGACACAGACTTGTCAAAATCACCCAAATGCAGACGAAAAACAGGATGTGACAGACGCTCAAAGCAGAGGCACGTAGTGCTCAGGGGACCAGGACAGGGACCCTGAGAAAAGGATGTTTGAGCTAAGAGCAGCTAACTAGGCGAGGAGGAGAAGAAAGGTGTTCCAACCTGGGTAATGAGCATGTGCAAAGGCCCTGGGACGCTAACCAGCAAAGCAGGTGTGAGAGACTGAAAGGAGCTGGTGTTACGTGTCCAGCTAGTGAAGAAGGTGAGCGAAGCAAGGTGAAGCTAGAAAGGCTGGGGAGCCAGACCGTGCCGAGCTGTGTGGGGCATCGCAGGCTGGGCAGCGGTACTCACAATCTCCCACATGGACTGAGCTGGCATGCAGGAGTCGCAGTGCACCAGGGACTCTGTAGACTGCGGGAAGGTGTTGGGAACACTGTAGCTGAAGCACTGTCCTAGGCACGCTCTGTGGGAGGAGAGATCACCATTCCCTGGTCACTGCGGCAGAGTCAGGGATGGGCAGCCCTGCCCTCCTCCGCCCCTCCACCCACGCCCCGGACCCCACCTGTTCTGGATGGACTTGGCCTCACAGCCGCTGTGGCCCACGATCTGGGTGATGTTCTTGGCCTCGCACCAGGCACTCTTGTCCGGAAACAGTGCCAGCTTGTTGATGGGCGGCGGCGCGGCCAGCAGCATGGCGGGGAGGACAGCCCCCACCAGAGCCCGAAGCATCATGCCCGTGGCCTTGACAGCCCTACAACTGAGCACAGACCGCGGGTGAGGCCAGCCAGGCTCAGGAGGCTGGCACGAGGGCAGGCAGTGGTGTTCTAAGCATGAGCTCTGACATCCGACCGCCTGGGTTCAAATCCTAACTTTACCACTTACTCGCCAAGCACAACCTGGAAGTCACTTCTCCCCTATGAACCTCAGACCTGGGGCTGGTAACGGGATGTGCCTCTGATGTGTCATGAAGACTAAACGAGGCATCGCCTGGAAAGCCCTCCGCAGAGAACACACGCTCTGTGTTTCAGCTGTTTCTACAGCTGACTAGGTAGCTTTGAACAAACTACTTTGACCTCTGTGCCTCAGTGTCTTCAACTGATAAACGCGGCTGGTAATACTGCGCACGGCAAAGGGCTGCTGCCGATACGAAACGGGACACGCAGTTCAAGCACATGTTGACTGTTGAGCTATCACCAGCTCCCTCCTCACTCTGATGATGTGGGTCCTCCTGGCAAACACGAAACACTGCCCACACAGCGCATGCCCTCGAGGGATGGCGTCCAGCAGGTCCTGGACGTGCTGCCACAGTTGTCGATATTCTGGTGTCAGGAAAGCTAACCTCCATCTTCATGCTGCTGTGAACTCTTGGGCCACTTGGCTGGCTGGACCCCAGGTAAGAAAACTAACCCCGGAACATACCGTATTTCTTTTTTAGATGTCCCACCCAAAGACTTGAGCCCTGAGTCTACACACACATCATTATCCCCAGCTCCATCCTAACCTGGGGCAAGCGGAGACCATCCATGACACTCTCGGTCAATTGCATGAAGCAAGACACAAAAATACCGGAATTTGCCAGCAGATGGCGCTGCAGGGCAGTGTGTCCCAAGGATTCCGCAGAGGGAATTCGCCCAAGGTTCCCCAACTCTATCTTCCTTAGGTTGCACCCACTCTCCCACCTCAAAAAACGTGGAGGAAGGCTTTGGGGGAGATTCAGAAAGGAGGGCAATGCCTGCAAGGAGGTCCACTGGGGAAAGGACGCTGGACAGTCAGGAGTCCACACATGCTGGCCCTGGACACTTGGGCCGCAGTGTCCCCACCTGGAAGGTGAGTGAGGTGCGCCCTAGGACACTGGCTTCCAAGCCTGGCAGGTCCTCAGAATCCCCTGGGGACTTGTGGAGTGGAAGTTCTAGGGTGGGTGGGAGTCTGCACTTCTGACAGCTTCTAGGATGTTCTCATAGGCAGCCAGGCGTGGGAACCAGTCCAGCTCAGTCAGTCTGGGATTCTGTGTCTTGGGACAGTCCCTGGAGGGGCTTGGGTGGCGCTGAAACAGGAGCCAGGGTCAGGTACTGTCCCACGGACACCCAGCACTATAGGCAGGCTGGCTCGGAGCTGGACATCCCATTAAGGACAACTCTCGGCCCATTTTCTAACTAAAGTGGCAGGCACTTTATACAGTGTCTGGGGTGGGGGACATGCTGGGGAGGGGGTCTCGCCTGCTCCTGCAGTGAAAACCTTAGTGGACTGGCTCAGCTGGGCTTGAGGACAGGGTCCCGGCCAGCCTGCAGGGCTGTGACCTCCAGCACAGCACTCGGGGAGCAGGGAGAGCAGTAGGTGGTGAGCCCCGACAGCCTGCCCCCCCATATGAGTCTGTGTCATGGCGCAGGCTCTCACCCACACATTTCCGGTCTCGCTCACAAGATCGACAGCAAAGTCCCTGTTTTTAGTATAACCACATCCTAACAAAATAGAATGGACTTGTTCCTAACTGGCAACCTAGCTAATTTTTCAACAGGCTGAGTATCCAGAAGGCTTCCTTACTCCGAATAGTGCTCATCCGTCCCCAGGGAGTCAGGGTCTGCCCATGGCTGACCAGAAGGGCCCGGAGGCCACTTAAGGCCAGAGCCCCCTGGGCCTCCCCAGGCTGGACTGGCCCCTAGAGACCTAAGAGAAATCTGGGGGCTTTTGTCCTGTACCTGACCCCATATCATGATTCCTCAGGAAGGCCAGGGAAGGTGTGACCAGGGAGGCGACAGGGACAGGGAGTGACTTCGGGTTTCCTTTGGATTTGGGATTGAAATTGGGATTTTAATGACCTCCTGGGGATGAGCACTCAGATCTGTGTTGGAGTTGGAATTAAGAGAGGTTAGAACTGAGGCTACAGTCCAGAACCAGGGTAAAGGTGAGGAGAGATTGGGGTTAACAAGGTTAACTGGGAGAGAATGGTGAGTTTTTAGGGGAGTCACTGGCCCAGAGGATGGGGACTGGTTATTAGGGTCACACTGTAGCAGGAGCGGAAGAGAAAGGAGATAAACCGAGGCAGAAGGCCACCCCCCTGACCTTCCTCCTTTGCTAGTACCCAGCTGAGAGCTAATCCTAGGGGCCAGCTGTGTCCACAGACGCCCAGGAGCCAACCCAGGCGGCCTCTCCCCACGCCCTGGCCAGGACCTCCGAGGAGGGGCCTGGGGCCACTCAGCTTCCCCCGCCAGCAGCCGAGTCCAGCAGGCAGCCTGGGCTCCCGCAGCAAGGCCCTGGGGTCTGCTGTGTTTGAGACCCGGCCCCCCACCTAGCAGCTGTGTGACTTTCAGAAATAAAGGTCACCTCTCTGCACCCACCTACCTCAACCCTAGTACGAGGGCACAGCACCGTCCTTGAAGAACATCTGGGCAGATGCAGTGAGAGCGCCCGGTACCCAGCAGGCACCCCACTCAAGCCGGTTCTCTTCCTGGGGGGCCTGGGGAGGCGGGACAGGCAGCAGAGCCAAAGCTGGGCGCTGGAGCAGGAGGCAGGGAGGACACCAGGCCACTGTCTCCCACAGACAGTGTCATCAGGACACGGCCAGCCTCCTCCTGCCCTCACGCTCAGCCACCAAGAGCCCCCGCGGCCCCCACCACTTCACGGCCCGGGTGGGCTCTTTGCTAGCAGGTCTAATTTTTTGGTTTATACTCTTCTTTTTTCAAGCAACAACTCAGCTCCTTTTTTTAATACAGCAGTCAGACCTTCCCTTCGGAGACTCGAGAGCCTCACCCACAGATTTTCACCCCTCCCTCCCCACCCTGAAGGTCACACAGCAAGTCACGGGTGTGAAGGGGGATCCCTACTTGTGTCCCCCCCCCCTCCGCAAGTCAGGCTAAGCAATGCCCCTCCCCTGAGTCACGCAGTTTCCTGCAGTCCACACTCCTTCACTGAGCAACTGCTGGGATGCCAGGGGCATGGGCAGGGGAGCCAGGGGCCCAGGCCCCGGACCCACTCAGGAGCTCAAACCTAGAGGGGGAGGCGAAGGGAAGTGGGTTAGGAGGAAGTTGTTTAGAGTAGGGGTGGTCAGAGAGGGCTGTGGGGGGCAGAGGGTAGATTCTTAATTCTGGATTTATTACAGGATCACAATTCGTTACCAATGGTGGAGACAGAAACAGAGCTCCTGGCTGAGGGCACTGCCTGAGCAAAAGCCAGGGGAGGGGACTTGCCATGTCTGCCCAGCACAGCTAACTACGGACGGGCACGTGCTAGGCGCCGTTGCATAAACCCATGTACTCAGTCCCTACGACAACCCTGTGCGGCAGAGACCGGTTTCCCCTATTTTACAGATGAACAGACTGAGTCACAGAGAGGTTAAGAGATTTGCTGGTGATTTACTAGACAGTAACTAGTAAACAGAGATCTACTATTTACAACTTCCCTCTGTGCCCAGTCATGAGCATGAATAAACGAATATGTCAAAGTGCTTAGAACTGGCCTGGTCCCTAGTTAGAACACAGACAGTACACAGAAGTGAGGCCTTGAACCTGGACAGAGGCAGGGTGAGCGCCAGCTACCTTTGCAGATGAAAAGGGTCACAGAAGAGAAAGCAGGAAACGGAGAAGGCAGCGGAGATTCTGGGAATGGTGCGGAGTGGGCATGAGGCCCGGGGCTCCCATCCTTGTTCAGCCTGTGTCTCTCACTCTGGGGTTCAGCCACCACCTGGCTGGGAAGCTTGGGTTCAAGCCCCACTCCTGACTCCCCTGTAGATGAGCTCCTGGCCGTGGCTGACCCCTGCCCTTCGGACCTCGGGAAGGTATGTCACTGCCCTTTTTCAGAATTGAGGGGAGACCTCTGAGGGTGCCTGCAGCCGGGGTGGGGCCTTCTTCCCACCCCACTGTGCGTTCCCAAACCCAAGGCCTTCGGAGCCTCGCAGGCCTCATGAAAACACGACACATTCTGAGGCTGCCAGCAGCACAGACAGGAAGTTCCCCAGGGGGGTGCTGGCGGACCCATTCCTGCACTGTGGAAACTGAGGCACAGAGCAAGCAGGTAGCCAGCGTGTCTCCCACACCCGGGGAGAGGCTGTGAATAAGAGGGACACCTGCCTTCACAGCTCCCTTGGGAAGGGTTGGGGGTGGGGAGCTTCAGGTCAGGACTTCGAGGTCCTCTGTTTCCACACCAACCGGAACCTGGCCTCTTCCTTGAGATGTTTGTCCCAGCGCCAGAGTTCTGACCCCACAGGTCTGGGGTGCGGCCCGGCCTCTGCATGGGTTCCCACGTGATTCTGAGGCCTAGCCAAGTCGGGAGCCGACCCCCCAGGGAAGGGGCTCCCATAACAGCACCACAGACGGGGTCAACCCACCCCACTGCCTGGATCTTAGAGCCTGGAATCAGGTCTTAAATTCTCGGGAGGGCCCCGATTTCAAGGGAGACCTGGGCCCACCACCACCCAATTGGGAAGTCCTTTGTAGAGCAAGACACATTTTCTGTAACAGTGAACAATTGCTCCCGTTTCCTCTTTGGGGTGAAATGTGAATATTCAGGGTCACTCAGGACCGAGCACACCAGGATTTTCTGGGCAGAAAGTATCGGCTCATCCCAAGCCCCACCTCCCACCCACCCCTCACACACCCTCACACACAGGGCAGGGGCTGGGTCTCCTGCATTCTCCACAACAGACTGGGACAGACCGAGTTCCCATCCGAGCTCAGCCACTTTGACATTCTTCTGCCTCAGTTTCCTCATGGGCAAAGGTGGGCAGTGGTAATACGCACCTCACAGGGCAGTGGTGCATGGAATCCCCTGGAGGGCGCCCTGTCATGGGATCAGACCCCAGTAAATGTCAACATTAGTGCTAGCTCAGAGTCACCCTGGGCCACTCATCCTCCCTGAACTCTGCCCATGCCCGCCCATCCCCATTCCCTCCCACCGGATGCTGGGTGGTCCTGAAAATATGTAAATCTGGGGTTGCACCTGCCACTGGTGAAACTGGATTGAGGAAACCTCCAGGGAAAACTCAAGCCAATGACAGTATGGCTGGGAAAATGTTTTACACACTGTCCCACTCACACACTCGCTTGCCCGCGTGGGCGCGGAGAGGAACATCCCACTCAGACTCTCATTCTTGGGCCCTGGACTGAAGGGTCGGGGTCCAGGAGAGACCAGCCCCCTCTTGAATCCAACTTCCAGAAAACAGGCTGGGCCTGGCTGCCAGGCTGGGCTTGCTGCTGGGCGCAGAGGGTGTGGCACGGTGGCCCTGGGCTCAGGGATCAGCAAGGGTGCGGCAATCACTGCAGGTCTTGGACTGAGTACAGGGACTTCCTCGAGTGGTGCAACTGCAAAGGTCACTCTGGGAGGGGGCCAGGCTGTGTCAGACTCCAGCCCTGGTCGGTTCAGAGGGCTTTCCCAGGCCCACTCTGGGCTCAAGGGCAAATTCAGGCCCAAGATCATCTACTGGCTCACTGTGTGCCTGGAGGCAGGATCATCTGAAGGTTACGTCTCAGGCCACAGGCCACTTGTTTTGCCCCCTGTGCCTCCTGTGTCTCTAAAGTAGGGAGCACAGCCTGGGAATGGACACTTTAGCAGATTCCCTCTGGCTCCTGCGCATTGTTAAAGCCACTGTGATTCCATGACCCCAGTCTCACCGCAGGGTGGCTTCCTTTCTCCTCGTCAGTGTGCTGGCAGAGCATGAACCAACTGTCCAGGGGGCTGACACGCAGGGCCAGGCCCAAAAGGCCGGCCCACCTCTGCCAGGCAGCTTCACTTTCCACGCTGCAAACCTCCAACCCAGGCCAAGGCCCTCCTGCCCCAAGACCCTCCTGCCGGAAGACCAAAGCTGTCTCCAAAACAAATCTATGCTAATGAGCTGCTGCAGGGCCCGACTACACATCTGCTCAGCAGAAGTCCCCCTGCAGACCCCACCAGTATCCCTGCGGGCTCCCCAGCCTCCGGCCCCTGAGGTTGGGGTTGGGGGGAAGGGGCTAAACTCAATCTGAGATTTCACTTTAAAAGAAGGAGGATACATCCACGACCGACACAGAGCACCTACACCCCCATTCACGCCTCCTGCCGACAGGCCCAAAAGAAAGCTTGCAGGGGTGGGGGGAAGAGGGCTGGGGTCACCGAGGGAATGCTCCGGCTTCACCTTTTTTTTTGGCCCCAACTAAAGGCACACCACACCCAAGCAGCCCCAGCATGGGGATTGGCAGTCACAAAGGATGAGGGGCCTGCTGACGAGTTGCTTCCTCACCCCCATCCTCTGCCAGGGCCCAGACTTGGCCTCGGGCCCTGACCTCTGTTTTCCGGGGTGGGTGGGTGTTCCCTTAGTTACAGGCCCCTGTCCTCCAGCTGGGCGAGGACCTCAGAAAGCCTGAAAATGTGCACTTCTCCCCTGGTGCCCGCCAACCCCTGGCCACGCCAAGGCAAGCAGCTGCCCCTTTACTGCTGCTTGTAAAAGATCAGAATCGCCCCGCCCAGGGAGCAGGCGGGCAGGTGGCCGGCAGCAGGGCCCTGTTGTCCAGGCCGCCTGGCGGGGGTGGAACTCAAGAAAACTGAGCCCCCGGAAAGGCTGGCTCCCCCTGCCCCAGACTCAATTCCAGGGGGATGACCCCGGCCAGGCCCCAGGGGCAGACGGAAGGTAGGGGGAGGGTTTCGTTTCTTTTACAGGGTCTAGGAAACTATTCGGGCTACTCCGACACTGGGGGATTGTCTGGATTTTAGGGTGAGGGGTCAGGGGGACTCACAGACACAGGACGCAGAGACAGAGAAATATAGAGGCAACGACACAAACCCAGGGAAACTCAAAACGGAGAAACAGAAAGAAAAGACAGAACCAGAGAGAGAGAGGGACGGAAACACAGAGAGGGAGACGGACAGACTGGAAGGCAGACACAGAGAGACAAAAAGGAGGCAGGAACGTACCGGAGCGGAAAGGCTCGCAGCGGCGAGGCCCGGGCACAGCTGGGGGACGCGCGAGCCCAGCGGCCGAGCCCCGGAGCTGCCCCGGCGCCCGCCGTGCGGCCCGCCCGCCCTCGCGCCATCGGGCTCTCGCTCCGCTACGCATCTCCCTCCCGTCCTCTCCTGTCTGCGGAAACTCCTAGCAAGAAATGGAAACCCCGGGCGAGTCCGCGGACGGCTCAGGGCGCAGGGGTGTCCCCTGACCACCCTGTGCCGCGCCCAAGTCCCCAGCCCCGGCGTCCGGGAGGCTTGGCGGCGACGCCTCGGCCCCGTGCCCTGGGCCGCCGGACGGGCCGGCACGAAGCTCGCAGCCGGGGGCGCGGCGCTGCCCTGCAGCCGAAGCGTCTGGAAGCCGGGCGACCGCGTGCCGGGCCGGACAGGACTTACTGCGCGCGCGGTGGCGGCGGCGAGGAGCGTGGCGCGCCCGCCGGCCCGGAGGAGCTGTCTGCAGGCCGCGGGGGTGGCAGGCCCGGCGGCCCCGGGAGGCTCAGGGAGGCGGCCGGCAGGGCTGGCGGCGGCCCCGCGAGGCTCGGCTGGGCTGCGCAGCGCGCCGTCTGCGGCCCCGGGCGGGCGCGCGGTGCGGGGGAGCGGCGAGCGAGCGGCTCCGACGTCAGGGGTGTCTCCGCTCCAAATAGGGAGCGAGGGCGGGGGCAGCGGAGGGAGGGACGCGAACTAGAAAGAGCGGGCGGCGCGCACAGCCGCTCCCTCCGGGCGCGCAGGAGGGGGCGCCTCCGCTGCCCGGCCGCGGCCCCTTCTCCCTGGCCGCCCAGGAGCCTCGGGCAGTCCTTCGGGCGGACAGATGGCGCGGCGGCGCTGGCGGTGCGGTGCCACCCTGGCCGGCGCCCTAGGCACAGGCAGAGAGCCCGGCGCCCCAGCTCGTTCTAAAGCTCCCCTCCTCCGTGCTTCTCCGCGCTTCGGCTTCTCTCCACCTAACGTTTCCCGAGAAGGGGCCGTCAGGCCGTGCCAGGCTTCGGGGTGACAAAGAAGAGGGGGTTCCTTTATGTGGGAATACCAGACTTGCTCCGAGGGTGTGGCGCTCCAGTCCACTGAGTCCCCACATCAGGAGACTGTCCTGGCCCCGAAGTCCTGCATTAGTCCTGCCGGCGCCCAGCCTGTGGATACACTCCTGGACATGCGACCAGCCCCGTACTCAGCACCCTGAATTCCTCCCAGCCTGTCCTGAACCCGGGCACTTGACTGAAGCGTCCAGAGAAGGATCTGAGACCCCCAGGAAGGCCTGTTGGGAAAGAGAGCACCAGGAAAGGGACTCGCTTCTCTGGCCCAGCATCAGCCTCACCTGGGGGGGGGGGGGCACCCAACGAATCCATTTGCCACTGGGCACTCGCGTGGATTGCGGTCATGCCCTCTCTGTTCTGTGCCCAGTGGAGTGAGAAAATAGCTTTACTCCTAAAAAGTAGTCGCCCCCAGACACAACCCTCAGTTGGAGATTTACTTTCTACCACAGTTGTCCGTGCGCAGCCTGGAAGCTCCCAGACTGTGTACCCTTGCTCATCTAAAGTCTGGAGGTTGCTGAGCGACCTGGGTGGCTCCTGCAGCCTGCTACACCTCCATGGTACACGCGGCCTAGCTGCTCTCTCCGTGCCTCCTAGCACTTGCTTGTGCCGTTCCCCCTGCCAGAGGGTCCGTTCCCTCCTTTCATCTCCTGGTAAAGGCATTCTTCAAACCAGACTGGAAAGCCTTCCCAAGACCCTGGGGTGGCAGAAACTTCCCTCTTCTCCTGTGATCCTGGAGCAGGAATACATACCTCGCTGATAATGCTTCTTTCCCTCCAGGCTAGTTGAGTAGATCACTTTCCTCCACTAGACCATGGGCTCCTTGAGGGCAAGGATCACAGGGATGACAGGGATTTCAGCATCCCCAGCGTTTAAGGTTGGGCCAGACCAGGTGTACAACATATTTGGCTAAATGAAGTATTATCCCCCATAAGTAAGAGCTCCCACAAAGACAACTATAATAACCAGCATAATCGAACACATATATTAAGCACTTTACTATGTGCCTGGTCCCATTCTAAGTATTTCCCACCCACCTAACAAATCTGTGAGATAAACAGTATTGTTATCCCCATGTTATAAGTAAAAAAACAAGCAAGACCTAGAGAGAGGTTGGGTGACTGACCTCGTCACACAGTAATGCCAGCACAGTGACTGCTTGTTGGGTGATCTTGTCCCACAGAGCCCAGCCTCGCTGACTGCACACGGCAGGCGCTCAGGAAATGCTGTCTTGCTTACCACCAGCACTCTCCATGTGGACCCTGGGTCGGGTGGGGGGTGCATGTCTCCATTCGTTAAGAACCGTGCAACACTGCAGGACACTGAGTGTAGCCTCATGAGCTTGTCAGATCTCCCAGAGAGCCAGGAAGGAACAGAAGCCCTTGACAGTCCAGCCACTGCCCAATGCAGGGAGGTTCCAGAACAATCCAACCACCCAATCAAGGAGAAGGGTTTGAGGCTGAGTAATACCTACATGGTGAAAACAGGGGGTCTGGAAGGTGACTTGTTAACAGTATCAACAGCCACCAGTATGTGCCAGGTGTTATGCTAAGCACTATCAAATACTTACACAGTCCCATCATTATTCCCATTGTAAGGGTGAGAGAAGTCAAGGCATCAAAATGTTTAGTTTCCTGCCTGCCCAAGATCACATGGCTAAGGGACTGACAAAGTCTGGACTGGAACCCAGAATGAAGCCCCCACACCCTCGTGGCTGCCTCAGAGCCCTCCCCGTGCAGGGACACGGCACACCAGGACCCAGGGCGGTGGGGCCCCAGCAGGAAGGGCAGACCTGTCACATTAGTCTGCGAGCTCACTGACATGCACCTGGTTGGCAGTGGTATGCCAGTTGCCCCAACAGGCTTGGCTGGCACAGGGCACGGGCCTGAAGCCAGAGCCTGCTGGCCCTGGGCCAGCCTCTTGGGGCCGTGGTGATGTGGGGCCCAGGGTGGGGGTAGAGGCTGAAAGCCTCTCTCCCTAGCTCATTAGCAAACATCTGGGCTCAGGAAAAGACCGACCTGGAATGTGACTGGGCTGTGGGGAGCTGCTCCCTCCCTGAGCCCGGGAATGTGAGCTCCCTCCCGCAGGGCACGGCTCAGGCCAGCTGTTTCCTCTAATCCCGGCAGCCCGGCCTCCACAGGGGTCCAGACCTCTGCACTCTCCTGGAGAAAGAGTAAAAACAAGCCAAAGGCCTTCCTTCCTAGTGCGCCCCACGAAACCAGAGGGTCAGGACTGGGGCCCGGGAGAGCCACCGTCCCTCCCTCTCCGGTGAGATAGGGACCAAGGGTGTTCAGGCTTCCAAGTTTGGAACTGGGAGGGGCCATTAGGACTCATTACGGAAGGTTCCGGAGTGTCTCTGCTTGGGTTTGAATCCCTGCTCCATTACCCACTGACTGGGACTCCGCAAGTTGCTTCGCGTCTGGGCCTCGGTTTCCTTCTCTGTAAAATGCAGCTGGTATGGCATGTACTCTACAGAGCTGGTGTGGGGACTCAGTCGTGTACTTAACACATATGTATCGTGCCTACTATGTGCCAGACAGGCACAGAGGGGTCGGGGACACAATAATGGACTAGACCCCCAAGGCCCGAGGTCCCAGCCCTCTAGAAGCAGGGAGGCAGAGTATACACATAAGCACACGAATGGGCTTCTCCTAACCAACGTGCTACGAATGAACTAAGTGAGCCAGAGTGGGTGATGTGACGGAAGAAGAAGCCCCCCGAAGACATCCCAAAGAGGTGATGTTTAGGTAAGATTGTGATAAGAGGGAGCCAGGATTCAAGGAGATGAATGGAGGCAAAGTGCTCCGCACAAGTCCTGGAAAACAAAGCTATTTCAGGGAGGTGTACACAGCAGAGGGGAGGCCGGGAGTCAGAATCCCTGGATGGAGCCCAGGCCTCGGCACAACGATGTCTCACCTTACTCAAGTCGTGCCCTTCCCGAGTCTCAGTTTCTTCGTCCGTGAGACAGGCATTTTAATAGTACTCAGCTGCAGGCTTGCCTGCTTGGAGAACTCGCTCTGGGCTGAGAGCTGGGTCCCTGAAGCACAGCCCCTGGCATGCGCCGGGCTCTCAGGCAGTGGTAGCTCCATGCATCAGCCCTTCCTGCAGAGGGAAAGGATTTGCCTACATGCAGGTGGGGAGTCAGGAGCAGAATCAGATACTCTGACTCTGAGCTCACCCCCTGGGCTGTGTCCTCCTCTGGTCCCTGGAGGCTCAGGAAGCCTCTGGGCCCCATCTCAGGCTCTTCACTAAAGGGTCTGTCCCTGGGGGCTACTGAGGCTGTGGGGGGTGTGGCCTTGGCCTAGACTGGAAATCAGGAATGAGGCCCCAAGGGGAGGGGCCTTAGCCCCATGGAAAAATTAAAAATGCTCTTTGTACGTAGGGTGGGAGACCAGGGATCACGTGCTAAGAATAAGGGAGATGAGAGAAGAGGGTGAGAGATGAGAAGTAGATTCTGGGAAGCTTGGATTGGAAACGTAAGCCCGAGTCTGTCTGACTCCAACTGTCCTTTTTCCATTCCAAAGAGGCACTATGCACGGTGGTTATGACTATTTCCTCGTCTGTAAGAACAAACACACTGGTTGCCAGGAATGCGGCCTAAATGCTGGGGGATGGGGTGCCAGGGGCTCTCCCCAACCACTCACTTTGGTCTGCATTTGTTTGCTTCCTCCCCCACCCATCACACCATCACACACACACACACCACACACCACATACACACACACACACACCACACAGCAGAATTCTTCCCATCTTCTTCAGCTGGGGCTGCCTGACCCCACAGTAGAAGCCACCCACCTCCGTGCAACAGGACCAGACCTCAGCTCTCAAGAAGGGGCCTCTGCCCGGTACCCTCCCGGCCTGCCCCTTCGGTAAACACCGTAAACAAGGTTGCAAGGTGGTGGGCAGCGCCAGGCAAATCGACATTGTTTCTTCCACTTCCTGGCTCCCAGTGGCCCACACATATTCACAGAGAGTGGGATAAGAATGTCTCTCGGTCCTCAAGAGTGTGCCTTTCTGTGCATATTCAGTATCCCACAGCACAGCATTTCCCCCTGCTTTTTCTAAAAATTGATTTTGAGAGAGAGGCAGAGAGAGGGAGAGAAACATCAATGTGACAGCAACACACTGATCAGCTGCCTCCCACACCCCTACCAGGGATCGAGCCCTGCAATCCAGGCATGTGTCCTGACCAGAAATCAAACGGGTGACCTTTCTGCGCCAGGATGACACCCTACCAACTGAGCCACATGGGCCAAGGCAACATTTTTTCCCTTGTGGTTTTTGTGCTCCAGATAAATTCATTGTAAGATCCCTTTTTAGGAACTGGGAATAGAACAAGAAGGCACAAAAGGCCCGGCTGGTGTGGCTCAGTGGTTGAGCGTCGACCCACACACCAAGA